TCATCTAGACCAAGATGAATATAATATGTGGTTCGGGAATTATCGGGCGGTCTACGTTCCCGCTGTGGGCCCCACATGCAATTTACTATTCACGTAAAAGAAATGATGAAATTTAACAATTCCGCAAATTCATAAATCATCTTTCAAAGTTTATTACATAATTTACTAAAAGTAAATATGCTCGGGGTCGGTGTTACAGTAAAGCTTCGATGAACTGCGAAGAATGTCAAGATTTGAATTATGAGTTCCAAGAAACTGCAAACTTTGAAAGATTTAAAACATCGAGAAATTTTGAAAATCTCGAAATCTTCAGAATGTCGAGATCCAAAATATCGAGATCCCAAATGTCGAAATCCCAAAACTCGAAATTCCAAAAGATTTTCAGAGGCAGAATTTCGAAAATCAGATGTCGAGATCTGAATGTCGAGATCTAGGATTTTGATAAAGGAGGCCCGGTTTCGAGATTTGATATCGAGATTAGGATGTCGAGTTTTGAAATCTCGAGATTTCAAATGTCGAGAAGTAAATCTCGAGATTTGAGATGTCGAGAAGTGAAACTCGAAATATTATTTCGAGAAGTCAAATGTCGAGACCAGAAGTCGAGACCTTAAAATCGAAACCTCGATCTCGAGATTTGGATGTCGAGATCCTCAATGTCAAAATCCTGCAAAATGAAAAAATCGATTTTTGAAAATCTGAAACCTGTTCTGAAAAGCCCTGAAGGTCGAGATTCTCCTGTATCAGTTTCAAGCCAAAAACATTTCTGCAGCAGTGAAAAATAAGGATTTCGAGATCTCAATGTAGAGATCTTCGAAATATAAAAATTGCAGAAAACGAAAAAGGAGGTGTGCTGCTGTATCGGTTTTGAAAGACGAGTCCAACAGTATGATTTTTACAAAATTTCGTTCACAAACAAGATTACAGGAGTAAATCTCTACATATAGAAAAACAGAAGAAAAGCAGAGCAGTTCTTCGTTAGATCCAAAAAAATCGCAGATAGATTCAACCTGTTTCATGCCTCGTCTCTGATACCAAATGATAAACCCAGAATACTAACATTCAACAAACATAAGCAGTGATAAAGAAGCAGATAGAAAGAAATCGAGAAGATGAACCGAATCTGGTATACCGTATAAAACCCCGCTGCTCTCCCTGGAGAAGGAGAGCAGCGGAAACCCTACTCTCTATCTCGTTGTATTCAAGGACGGCTTTTCTTTCGTTCTCCCCAAGCAAATAGAAAATAGTCAATATCGTGGGATGCATCCCGCGCGCCGGTCACTGGAGTATTAGAACCAAGAAGAGCGAGATGGGCGGCGGATCGGGATAAGGTATACTTGCCATAAAGTCTTTCTACAAGACTACAAATATGCTTACTTTGAATGCCAACAAACTGTTTGTCAAAAATTCTGTGACGTTGTTCTTAACGTTTTTGCAACACATTTTCTCAATATGATTAGTGGGTTAAATTTTGTTATTTTTTGGTGCTGCTGCAAATCTATACTTTCACACCCAAAACTCTTTGTTTATTTTCAAAAAAAATCATATGACATAAGCATAAACTGTTTTATGTAAATACCATTAAGAACACCAAGTGACAATACCTTACGTAAATCAAAGTACAAAGAACGTTATTATTCCATAACATGTATCTGATGTTGGGTGTAACTCGGAAGAACGAAGAAATATTAATTACATATGACTAATTAATAAATAAAATAGTCAGAGAAAAAAAAAAGAAAAATAGATGGAATAAAAATTAGCCAAAGCTCGTGCTATGCACGATGTCCTACGCACAATGCAATCTATATTTAATTTAATAAACTATGAAAACAGACAATTTTGTTTTTTATGCAACAAACTACCACTATCACCCTGAAATTACAGGTATTTCACATGTTTGCATTATTTTTTAAAAAAAGAGTTGGAAATTCGTAAGTGCATCTTCTAACAGTAATATATTTTGAATAGTGTGATCAAATTTTTGACACTTTTCACAATTCTTCAGTAGCACAAGTGGTTTGCAAATAACTTTGTACTTGCTAGGTCTCAAATTGGTTTACTTCAACTCGGAGTTCTTTGGGTCATAGTATTTGTGGCTATTTAATGGTTTTTGCATGTATGTTAAGTGTTTTAATGTTACTTATTCTGTCTTCAACTTTACCCATATGGTGGCATATTTAACTTTATTACTAATATTTTAGGAATTTATGAATGTTGTGGTCATATATAGATAAATTTCCCGTTATGTTGGGAAAGAATGAAAACATATGATTGTTAAAAAAATGCCTCAATTGAAGCCATTTCAATTTATCAAAAGAATGAAAGAATAAAAACTTAATATGCTACATGGTATTTTACATTTTAGTTTGTTGGGGAGGAATTCAATATAACAACATGATGAGCAAATAATAACTATTACTACATAGTATGTTTAGCTTTGTACCTAACTTATTCTTGGACATTTTTGTAAGATTATCATTGACAACAAGATATGACATGTGAATAGAACTATCTCAGACAAGCCATGCTATTCTTTTAAAAGAATGGTCTACTCATAACACATTGCTCACTATCTTTACATCTTCCATATTCATGGTTACTGTAATTGTTTCACAGGTGAAATGCAATTTCACATGCCATTGAAATGCAATTTCCCATGAACCATCGGTTTATGGCAACACTGACCCCTCCAATCGAAGGATACATTGAGAAGGTTCAGGAGGCCGCAAGAAAGAGTTGTGCAAAGGAAAAGCTCAGATGACAGACCTATGAGTGGCAAGTGGCGACCATAATGGAAGTTCCATGTGGTGGTGGTGGGGCATTTTCAATCAGTCGTTAATGGAGTAACTCAACATTTTCAAATCTGCAATTGATTTTCATTATTGATAATGACCTGGTATACATGTCTATAGTTACGCAGGTAAAAGAAAACACAAAACTTAAAAAGCTGTACTTAAACCCTTGTAAATCTTGGAAAACCAAGACTTCAAATAAAATCGCATGTTTGTGATGTAATTTATAAATGTTTATGATCAATTAAGTATGATATATTCCTTAGTGTTTTTAAATTAGCATAGACAAAGGTGATTTGGGATAATGGAAAATTGAACACTTTGGAACATAAATTGATTCTTTTTGCAAATTGGGCACAACTCGCACGTAATGCGTATGCCGCTAGTAAATATATATATATATATATATATATATATATATATATATATATATATACCCACAACCCACCTACGGTAATATATCTACGAATATATATATATATATATATATATATATATATATATATATATATATATATATATATATATATATATATATATATATATATATATATATATATATATATATATGAAGTATATAATAAGGTTCAAGTGAGAAAATGATCTTAGGAGAGAAATGAGAATGAATCTGGACTGTTAGATTGTATTCTGTGAAATTGAATGTGCATTAAGTGAAACTGAAATGTGCATTAGGTGATGTCGAAATGTGCAACACAAAATGTAAGGCATAGTGGTATTATGTGAAGCTGAATTGTGCATTATGAAAAACTGAAATGTGCAGAATAAAAACTAGGATGAAGTGGCAATTTTGTGTCTTTTATTCTGCACATTTCAATTTCATGTAATGCACATTTGAGTTTTATTTTTCATTCTGCACATTTCAATTTAACTTAATGCACATTTCAGTTTTAATTATCAAATGCACAATTCAATTTCACATAATACAATCCAACGGTCCAGATTCATTCTCATTTCTCTCCTGGGAGTCCTTTCTCATTGGAACCACTCAGCTCCCTATATATATATGGGTGTTGGCCACTGATAGCATGTCATGGGTAGATCATTTGCCTTGTTATCTAATTGACGGCAAATTATATCGTGCAACCGGCGCACCATGAGGATGGTGCGCCCGGTTGCAAAACGACGGAGTATTGTGGTCCGGTTCCATTATTTTTTATTCCTTTTATTGTTAAAAATTGTAATAACTTTTTTATTTCGTATCCGTTTTTTATAAATTTTATATTAAATTTTTTTATTTTTCAGGATCTATCAAATGAGACCAATATTGCTTATGTAATTTTAACAAATTATGGAACTATTATATAAATGATTATTGGATTATAAGGAAAACCGAACTAAATTTAATACAGAAAAATAATTGTGTAAATCACAATTTATCTTAAAATTGTGTATATAAAAAATTTATTGTATTAGGTATTTATACATGTGAGTTACATATTTTTATATTTGAAGTTACATATTTTTACACGTAAAGTTACATATTTCTACACGCGAGTTACATATATATACACACGAGTTGCATTTGACATGCCTGAACGCGAGTTACATATATTTACACGTCAAGTTACATATGTTTACACGTCAAGTTACATATGTTTACACGTAAAGTTACATATTTATACACGCGAGTTACATATTTATACACACAAGTTGCATTTGACCTGTCTGAACGCGAGTTACATTTTTTTTAACGTAAAGTTACATATTTTTACACGTAGAGTTACATATTTATACACACGAGTTGCATTTGGCCTGACTGAAAGTGATTTACATATTTTAACACGTAAAGTTACATATTTTTACACGCAAATGTTAATATGTTAAAATTACATTGGCAAAATTGGTCTCATTTGAAAGATCATGAAAAATAAAAAAAATTGATATAAATTTTATAAAAATCAGATCAAAAATAAAAAAATTAACCCACCGCAATTTGGGATTATATCATGAGCACATGTACGGTTGCATGTATACGATTTGAAAAGGAACTATTGTACCATCCAAAATAGCGCGTGGAGCCGTGGAGGGAGAACGTCGTAATGCGTATATCCAAAATAAATACTCCGTATTTGAGACGGTTGCGAGTTTTCCACAGAAAATACTCAGAAACAGACACGTGGTTGAGCACTCGGCGCTGCTTTTGCCTCAAATAACTGCTCTGCTTTCAGGATATACACTCATCATAATAAATAAGAAAACAAGAGAAAATTTATACCTCAAGAAAACAAATAAGAAGAAGGTCCGATTGGGTCAGACGTGATGGGCAATTTGAAACTTGCAGACAGTTTGTTGAAATGCATTTCTTCAACAGCCATGCTTCCACAACCTTCGTGGATTTACAGAGGTTTCGTTTCATCTACAAGGCCTTCACAAAAAGTGAGTAATTTTTACTTTTGTTTTCTTAATATCAATTTCTCAAAGCGACGCTTCTTTGTTATATTTATTATTCTATTGCTATTGTGTTTCAATTCCGGGTTTCACCTAAGGTACTCTCATTATTTGGTCGCTCGACGTCGATCTATTCGGTAATACTCCGTAACATAAGAAAATTCTTGGCTATCATTCCTAGACGACGTGTATGAGGCGTGTATGAATTTGGGCGTGTGCAGATAACTTTTTTGGCTATCATGTTTTACATACGAAGTATAATTTACTACTCCCTCTGTATCATATTATTTGTTTCTTTTTCTTTTTCAAATAGTTTAGGATAATTACTATAACCTTTATAAAAAGATGGAGATTTTTGGTACGCTAGCGATACCGTTAGTGGTATTGTAACGGTATTGTGGCCCTATATGCTTATAGAGTTATATGGTGTATTTCTTTCTAAAAAGGGAATGTGACTTTAATTTGATACGCCCGAAAAGGAAAGTTGGACGGATAAAATGATACGGAGGGTGTATTATTGTTTAACCGGACTGTGTCAAATCGAACCATACTCAATTTGGTTTGAGTTTAGTAGTATTTCTTCCAAATCGAATCGAACCGAAATCGAAAAAATGGAATACAACAGAAATGAACTAAAGAAAATCAAGAAAAGTGACAAACCAAAACCAAATCAAAAAATAGTACTCCGTGTGATTTTCGGTGATAATAATTCTTTCAATCTATTTGAACCCGAACCGAATCGAAATTGATAAAAACTGAACCCAAACCCCCTAGTGTAGTTGGTCTTATTTGATCTATTTTAACCTGTTGGATATGTTTGAGTCGTCTCTAGAATCGAGATGAGTTCAATTAATAATATATTCACTCTTACAAAGTTACTTTTCCGTATAATTAGTGTTTCCCCCCACTGTTAAGTATATTTTAAAAATGAGGTGCAAAATTCAATTTACAAGAATTCATGTGATGCAAAATTTAGTGTTTAGGGTCCAAAGTGCATGCTTTGAGATGTAAATGTATCAATAGTTTTAACAATGGAGTGCATTTCAAATTTAGACGAAGGGTGCCTTTCATGCGCTTCCAAAACACGGGAATAAAACTAGATATTCTAAGAAAGGGGGGATCGAAATTGCCTATCCCGATTACAGTTAGGGTTTTGAAAAAATTGCACGAACTCTTCCAGTTGGAATCCTGATAGAGAGCGCGAAGAGCATGGGGCAGGACCGGGCTTGGGCCCGGGTTCATTCTATCTTATCTTGGAATAAAATTGGTTTTAGCCTTTTAGCTTTGGGCAACAGTATTTTTATCGTTGATTATCTGGACAACGGTTTACCTCATTGATTTTATTTTTCTGTTACACAACAATTGGTCCGACCTGCCAGATCCCGTCCCGCCAGGATGTGAGATCTCAGATCGACCGCTGGACAGAGATGGTCATCAAGCAAACTCGGATGAATCAAACCCTAGAGGAGCACGACATGCGTCTGGCAGAGATTGCCGCATCCCTGGCAGCGCTTACTAAAGCGCTAATTCCTCCGGTCATGACGGAAACAAGCTTGGACGCGGTTGGCAGCCCCACCGTATCTGCGTACAACAGCGACACAGAGCTGTGTAGTGTCACTTCCTCCTCCTTGGTTGAATTTACAGAGGTTCTCGCGCCGCCAGCGGTGGAGGAGCATTCAACGGCGGTGGCTTCACTTGATGCGGCAGCAACATCCTCGTTTGTTCGTTCGGAATTGGACTGTGCAACACCTTTTTTCACGATGTTGCCCTCGTTTCACAGAGAAGAATTGATCAGCTGGGTAGCTGGGTTGATAGGGCTGAGCAATAGTACGAATTGAACTGTACTCCGCCAGGAAAGAAGTTGGCAGCCTTTGTAGTTGCGATGCAAGAGCCAGCCTTATATTGGTTGACCTGGTTACGGGCACGAAAGCCGATCATGTCATGGGATGGGCTTACACGGACATTGGTGGCTCGTTTTGACTCACGGTTTAAGGGAAATTGCTTTAAACGGCTGCTCGGAGGCAAACAGACATGGACTGAAAGGAGTACATCTCAATTTTTCCTAAAGATACTGGGAAGCCCTCGGGCCCTGGGGACAAATGTGAGCTGGTTTCCGGATTTCAACCTTGAGGACAAGGTTATTTTGAAGGAGGATGGATTGTTAGAGAGCGGGAACGCATGGAGCGAGATCGGGCTTGGGCCCACTTCCGTGGGCTGGGTTAGTTCTGTCATTAGAGTTTATTTATTATTATTAAGTTAATGTTATGTTTTACTTTGGGCCTATTATTAGTAGAGTACGTAGTAGAGTTATTATGGACTTAATTAGGATTTAATTAATTTGGGCTTGATTAGGGTTTCTCTTAGAAGGCTATTTAGACCCCTTGCTAGAGTTCATTCTATCTTATCTTGGAATAAAATTGGTTTTAGCTATTTGGCTTTGGGCAACGATATTTTTATTGTTGATTATCTGGGCAACGGTTTACCCCGTTGATTTTATTTTTCTGTTACGCAACAAATCCCGTATTTCGTAACCAGATTTTTCTTCTCTTTTAATTCCACTCAGAGTTCTCATATCCGAATAGAGGTTTTTTTTAATAAGGTCCATGGAGTTTTCTTTATACTCCCTCCGTCCCATAATGAACTTCATAGTCACTATTCACATGGTCAATTTAAATTACTCTTAATCTTATGTTTTATATATCAATTTTTTATCTAACTTATATTTTTTTATCAGCCTTTGTAGCGGTTTTAATGTAGTTTCTCAATATGTAAATTTTATTTACTAAAAGTAATCTGAGTATGAACAAGGATCTAGTTGCTTTATCGTCGGTCAAGCATCGTAATCCGAAATGAGAAATTCATTTTGGGACGGAGGTAGTAATATTGATGTGAGATGTAAAAGTGACGTGTAAGTTTTAAATGTGTTTATATTTATATTTCTAAAATGAAAAATATGCAGTTTAATTTTTTGAATGCGAAAACATTGGTTAGTTTATTTTAATTTTTAATATTTCGAATAAATAAATTCAAAAAATGAAATATAAATTTGATTTTTTAAAATCCAAATTTTGTAATTTCAATGGAAGTGAACAAAATAAATGTAGTGTTCATTATACAAAAGAAATTTTATATGATTAAAATCAAATCATATCAGAATGACTCGGATTAGATCGGAAAGATTCTGATTAGATCGAAGAGATTCAGATCAAATAAAGTCATATCAGAAAGATTCATATCAGATAAAAAAGATTCAAATCGGATAAAAAAGGATCAGATCCGACCATAAAAATTCAAATCAGATCAAATCTTAAATTTAGATAAAACTATTCAAATCAGGCAAACATAAGAGCATCTTCATTCGTTATACTCAAGTTTACGGTTTTTTATGACTTCTTACTGCCGTGTCACTTCCACGTGAGATAATCTCAAATAATCTCAAAACTTATCAATTTCTCTTCATCAATGATCTTAACTTACCTAGATTTTTTTACAAAGATATTTATTATTATTTGATACCAGATTATTTTAACAAATAATCTCATAAAATAATCTCAACTCCTCATCCATGATTCCAAAAAAATCCTCCACATCATCAAAATGATCCCAAAAATAATCTATGGATGGGGATGCCCTAATATCTTCTAAGTTGTAAACGATTTTTTCTACTTGTTTTTTTTTTCAGATTGCAGCAGAGTTATTATTGTTTTATGCATGTGTTTCAAACACCTTCTATTATTAAAAGGGAAATTACTCAAAATAGGAGTAATGAGGTTTGGAATTCCAAAATAGGGCAAAAATGTTTTTCTTCCCGAAATAGGAGTTGTTACTGCCATGTTTAAAAAATAATGTCATAAATTATAATTAATATTGTAATGTTAAATGCACAGTACTGCAACTATTTGGCAGTCACGCTTACAAGATGGCAGTAAATACTGCCATGTTAGTCCTATTTCGGGAATAAAAACATAGTAGTTCTATTTTGGAATTTCAAACTCCATTTACTCTGTGCTCCATGTTAGTTCTATGTTGTATTTCATATACATTTTTTCTAATTTTTTATATTCAACTGAAATTACAATAGAATATTTTTTTTTGTAATAATTTTTATATTTCGTGTTCATTAATTTTTTTCTATAATATATTTCTTATCTCTTTGCAAAAACGAATATATTTCTTATCTCTTTGATATGTTTTTAGTGTTTTTAAGACATTAATTTTTTTAGTGTTACATCTTCTTATAGGCGGGTTACATCTTGTTGTGAATGAGTTACATCTTTCTATGCGCGAGTTACATTTAAACTTACCTCAACAAGCTATATTTTGCATACACCTAATTTAGATTTTTCTTTAGCATGAGTTACATTTTTTCATAACACGAGTTGCATCCCAAAATAACTCTAGCCATTGAAACCAAAAAAAATCAATTTTTTGTAAACAAAAATGATTTTTTTAAATAAAAAAATGATTTTTCGACAAAAAAATGAATATTTTGGCAAAAAATATCATTAATCTTTGAAACATTTTTATGGACTTGATACAAAACACAAAACACATTAACTATTTACATAAAAAAATTAAGCAATTAGACTCCTTGTTGTCATTGTTTACACTTGATGGTATATGGAGGTATATCTTCTTATGCGCGAGTTACATCTTTTTATGCGTGAATTACATCTTCCTATGCGCGAGTTACATTTAGACTTACCTTAACAAGTTAAATTTTGCATTCACCTAAGTTAGATTTTTCATCAATGTGAGTTACATTATCTATAACATGAGTTACATCGCGACATAAAGCTCTCTATTGAAACAAAGAATTTCATTTTTTGCAACAACAAAAAATGGCAAAAAATGATTTCTTTGGCAAAAAACTGATTCAAAAAAAACCCCGCCTTCATTATTAAAAATAGAAATATTCGCTATTTAAGTAAACCCATGCTATTGAAACAAAAAAATGAGTTTTTTGTAAGAAAAAAAAAATATTTTTTGCAAGAAAAAATGATTTTTTTGTGAAAAATGAGTTTTTGGCAAAAAATAATGATTTTAATGAAAAACAATATTTATGGCTTTAATATTAAAAACAAAATATATTCACTATTTACATAAATTTACATAAAGTAATTGAGCAATTAGACTCCTTGTTTTCAAGGAAATCAATGTTTTATTTATTAGACAAGTTACATTTCGACTTGCCTGCAGTTACACTTCTTTATAGCGTGAGTTACATTTCTTTACACGCGAGTTACATCACTCTGGTACTGGACACTGAAAAAAACAAAAAAAAAATATTGTTCACGCGTGAACATTAACACACATTTTTTTGGCTATGGGAGCAGCATGCTCACCGTGGGTTGCTCCCACGGTATAGCAACTGTGACAACTTATATGTGACTAAACAATTGGAGAAAGCCAAGTGTCATTTTTCTCTGAACCAACCTCATGAACTACTCTCAATTTCCTAATTTAATTTGTTATGCATTAAATTTAATTTATTGTAAAAAAAAAATATCACAAAATTAGATTTTTTCCCCCTCTATACATACACATATCCTTCATTTAAATTCAATGAAGGATATGTTTATTTACTTTGAAATTGATCATTTCTTTCCTTCTTGCATCTTATTTTATCTGTTTTAGAACATTTTTTTCTCTGATTTAAGGATATGTAACAATTTTTATAAAATGTGCTTATTTTTATTTTTTTACAATAAATAATTACTGTGGTTCAAATGTGGATTTTATATGGAGTATTCCTTTTTCAAATTAAATAAATTAATAATGGTGGAATATATAAAAACTAAGGAGAGAGTGTAAAATTTTTAAGTGACCTAGATCATTATAGTGGAGAGAAAATGGGATAGGTTTGATGGGATTAAATTTTTGAAAGAAAATAATGTGGAAGAGAGTGAAGGGGTCAAATGTCATTAGCATTGTGGATGTTGATCATGACGGGCTGACAGATTAAATATAAATATATTTATTCATCACGAACTACAATAATCTACTACATGGGTGAAAAGGAATCCATTATTTCAGAAAATACTCTCTCCGTCCCGCAAAGAAAAATGTTAGTAATAGGAGCTGATGATGCTGGGAGGTTACTGAGGTGGTAGCATAGGCCTGTATTTTATTTTCTTTTTTCATTTTTTAATATTCTAATATTTTTATTTCAAAATTATTTATTTTTCAATTTTTTAAATTTTAATAATTTTATTTAATATTTATATCCTGTTTTTAATTTTTTTACATTTTTATTACAAATAAAGTTATGTTATTACTTTTATATGTTAATTATTAATGAAATGCGAATTGTAAAAAGCTAATCCTATTCATGAAATTTTGAAGTCATAGTCCTAAAGTTTCATTTAGTCGTATTTGAGAATTATTCCCTTAAAAATTAAGATTAATTTAAAACTAAAACTTACGGAGTATATATATTAAATAAATACTCCCTCCGTTCTCTAGTAGATGAGAGTATAGCTTTTGGTACAAGATTTAAGAAGGAATTAATAGGGTTAGGATAAAAGGTGTACTGAGTTGTGTGTAAAGGTAAAAGTAGGAAAGAGAATGAAAAAGTAGGAAAGAGAATGAGGGTAAATGAGTATATTTATTGAAAAAACTTACCAAAAGTGGAAAGGGACACAACTAATAGAGAACATCTCAAAATGGAAGGAGTATCAAGTATTAGAGAATGGAGTTTCAATAGTTAGAACTTTGTGTGTATAATTTTCATCTTTCAAGATACCTAGGCCAGTAGGCCCAATACATCTTGTGATTTTTTTACTATTCCTTTTCCATTGTACAAGACAGCTTGCCTTTTATAAATTTGGGCATTTTCGAATTTCTCCTGTAAATTATAAACATTCCTTCCATGTGAAGTTGTCAATGATCGAAATTGGGGTTTTATTGATGAACAGACGAAGGTCGATAAAGAGACGTGTCAAAGAGTGGTGGAAGCAGCTGGAGCAGTAAAAGAGGGCGCGAAAGAGGTCAAAGGTGTTGTTCAAGAAGTCAAAGAAGCTGTTGCTTCTGGAGCTGGATCGGTATGTACAAAAACCATACTATCTCCGTCCTGCTATGATTGTCCCGTTTTACATTATCGGTCCGTCCCACTAAGATTGTTCCATACCAAATTTGGCAAAGTTTGTGTGGCTCTAAATTATTCTTACTTTATTCTTACTTTATCAATTCAATATCAACCACATAAACCACTTTTTATTGATTTGTGTGTCACTTCATCTTGTCTCATTGTTTGCGGGACGGAGGGAGTAAGTATCAATTCTAAATTTTACTATAGCTTATTTGAGAGAGATAGATGATACTAGCAAAATTTAAACAAAGTGTATATACGCAGTATTAGATTATATTTGATGCTTTTAATTGGATTGAGTTTACCAGTCTAATTTGATTAATCTAATCTGGTTTGTTTGAATGTGGGTCAGCTTGGTGTGTTTAAGTTTGGATCAATCTGGTCAGAATGGTCTAATCTGAAGTATGGTCTAGTAGATGTTGGATATATGTGCGTAGTTTATTTAAATCTATTTGTTTCGAGATTGAAACGAGAGCTTATAAAAAACTGAGATGAGAAAAATGTGATTCTCTGAGAACTCTTATATAGCCGCATTACTACTCTTAAATATGGTAGATTCTATGGTACCCTTAAGGTACCATACTTTTGTCCACTTGGACCAATCAGAATGATGTAGTTGAATTATTTAAATTTAAATTAATAATGATGTAATGATTTGAACCAATCAAGTGAGTGATAGGTACGGTACCCCATTTTTTAAATGGGTACCGGAATTGTCATTAAATATAGGCATGTTCAACTAATGTAAAAGTATTGGCAAATGACTAGCAGGCAGTGAAGAGGGTTGCGGAGAAAGCTATAGAGAAAGCGGTGGAGGGCGAGGAAGAGAAAGGGCCGTGGGAAAAAGTGAAGGCTACCACTAAGGCCATCAAGAAAGACGTCATGGGCGACAAATCCGACTCCAGCTAAATCATTCTTAGCTTACCTCTCTGCATTGGAAAGGAAAAGATAAAGAAAACATTCAGAACTGCAAGAGGCTAAGAGTAAATTTCTGTAATGGAGGACCAAATGTTATTGATGTCCCGGGATGAAATGGCCACTTTTTTCTTCCTTTGGATGTATTATGTATAATTGTAGATATTAAAAAAGTTCTCCAAGTATTTAACCTGTTCCTTTGGAAATCTTATCTTTCACTTATTTCCTTAAATACCCACCTGACCCTTTTTCCGTATCTGACTCCGTTCCAGTGTTCCAATTGCCTAATCATCTTGCTGCAATTCTTACGAAGAAAAAACATCAATGAACAGATCGAGCATGTGTGTATGTAATGTTCTTTTCTCTATTTCTTGAATTTACTTCCTCCGTCCAATAAAATAGTTCCCACAAGGATTTGGATCGGAGTTTAAGAAAGTATGAATAAAGTAGAAATGTATGATTGCGGTTAAGTAAGAAAAAAGTAAATGAATGGTAGTCACACAAAATTGTTCAAAAAGAGAAATGACATCATTTTTTTGGAACGGCCCAAAAAGGAAAATGTGAACTATTTTGCGGGATGGAGGGAGTATAAAATATCTACGTACATTTCTATGTTCTAATTTAGGGTCAACGAGTGTGATTTTTGTCCTAATTTGCCTGATTTCTGTCATTTTAATATAAGGTATTTACAATAAAAAATGTAAATATTCTTTGTTAAACTGCTTTCGTAAATCACACATAAATATAACAATTAAGATTATTGTCTAAATTTAATATCTAAGCCTTTTGGGACAGATGCAGTATGGAGAATAATCACAACCATTGGCCCTATCCATCAAATTTCGGTCATACTCTGTTATCCGTCCTGTCCATTTTATTATGGGTATGTTTGGCAAACGGCTTATCAGTCAACTTTTAGCTTGTTTGACCAAATTTAGTTGTTTCAATAGTCAAAGCAGTCAATATTTATGTTTGATAAATAGCTTTTTAGATTGGCTTGTTGAGTCCGAAAAGCTGAAAAAATGTCTGGTAGGAAAAGGCGAGGGGGGTAGCTTTTTAGATTGGCTCCTTTCATTCTTTTACATTTACACTCTATCAGCCATTTTGAAACAGCTAATTTAACCAAACAATTATTTATAGTCAGCTAACATAACCAGTCGGTCGAAACAGCTAACACAACCGGCTGACAACAACAACTAACAGACATTTGTCAAACCAGGCCTATATCTTTGCCCAAGTCCACGTTTTTGACGCATGACGAGAGAAATTTTATAGGATAATTTGGCCCTTGGATTGGTTGCTAAATCCACTTGACCACTTGGGCTGCATTTTATGTGATGAGAGAAAGGCCGGCCCCGTTTTTTATAGGCCCCTTCAAAAAATCAAACATAAAATCTTAAAATGTACTCCCTATATCTCAGAAAAAAAACTGTATTTGACTTGGATCAGATTTTTATAAAACCGGAATAAAGTGAAAATGTACATTTATTGTTGAGTAAGGAAAATGTAAATGAATGTTAGTCACATGAAATATTCCAAAAAGAATAATGGAAAGTACTTCTTGGACATCCAAAAATATAAGTGAGTAGAATTTTAAGGGATGAAGAGAGGAAAATAGAAGTTCAATATAAAAGTAAATTCATATTTTTAATATTAAACAAAAATACAATCATCTAGCATTTTCTAAAAATACATATGTGATCAATAAATCAAAATATTAAAAGTTAATACAATAACTTGAACAAAATCAATAGAGTTAAATAGAATCATCTAGCATTTTCACAGGCTGAATTGTGTAATAAAAATAAAAAGTAAGATTGAAGTTACTTTTTTGGCCGTATTGACTAAAGTTACTGTAGATGACGATTTTAGCTATTTTTTATATAACCTTTTCTTTATTTTATGAATAAAATGTATTTTACATATAATTTTTACATAAATAAGTATAATAAGCTAATCCAACAACTTCAGCCAAAACTTCATAAGTTTCAACAGAATCAACTGATCCAGCTGATTTTGGTATTACCAAACGGGCTCATATATAGATAAAGTTATCGCGTTTAGTTTTATCTAATCGATCACTCTCAACTATAATATGGATTAATTTATTAAATTTTTATTTATTATATATGCATGTTGGACTTTCAATATATTCAACTTTGATAATTATATATTTTTATTTGGGTAAAAGATTGAGGCCATATTTAATTCATGGGCTTTGTTACGTTCAAATGCATTTCTTCCGCTCTCAATGGGCGGATCTTGCTTGGAACAAAACTTTTAAGTAATATACTTCCTTCGTATTTACAAAATCACGTTTTCACAAAACATTTAAGAAAGAAATAGTATGGGTATCGAATAGTGTAAAAAGAATAAGAAAGTAGAAAAAAAAATAAAAGAGAAGATAAAAAGTAGAAAACTAAGGGTAATTGAGTATATTTAAATGAAAAATTGACCAAAAAGGACAATATACTCCTTCATCCCACAATTAAAATCTCAGTTTGACTTTACTATCTCTAAGACGGATGTTTGAATATAATAAAGTGATACGGAGTATTTGAATAATACATGTCACAAAGAAGCAGATAACATGAATTTTGTGTGGTGAATGTTTGTCAATTTTAAGTAATTAACGGTACTATCAAATAAAAAAGTAATTAACTTTCAAAGTTTAATAAGTTTGATACAAAAGTCAAATTGAGACTTTGATCGAGGACAGAGGCAGAAATTGATTATAAAAATTATTGTATTCACGAATTAAAAATAAGAAAACTCGAGACATGGCTAAAATATAACCTATTTCTTCTGTTTTTGAAGAATTTTTACTTTCTTTGATTTTCTCTTGAATTAGTCATATGTTATATTCAAAATAATGGCACTCCTGTATTTTTGCTTATTTTTTTTCAAATAGTTAAATCAGCCGATTCTTCAGAGATTTATGAAGTTTTAATTGAAGTGGTTGACTTTGTTGAATCAGCTGATTCCACAAACAATTATGAAGTTGTAACTGCGGTTGTTGAATTGACGAAATTATTGGCAAAGTTTATGAGGACAGAGGTAATATGAAAAAATAGCTAAAATGATAATATGCAGTAACTTTGTCATTCCATCCATAAAAAGTAACTTCAATTTGACTTATGTTGATTATTACACAACTCAGCACACGAAATAAAAAATCACCTGATGGAAATTTTGACTAATAAAATGATAAGCCAAAACGCATGATCATATCACCAAATGACGCTTAGTGTACTCTATACTTCATTTGAGACATTAACTTTGTTAATTTTCTCTTTGGATGCTTCAAAAGGTGTCACTTCTCTTTCAATAAATTAATTTGTGGTTTTGTTTATTTATTTCTCCCTTGTTTTGAAAAATTGTGTAAAATGCATAAATCTTGCAAATTGCAATAGTCATTTGAGATGATCTTATGCATTTTGTTTATTTGTTTTGTGCATTTTACACGTGGATAAATACCCACCTCATTGCATAGTGATTCCTACACAAACCTTATTATCTTGTACAGTAAGAATAATGATGGATCCATAATTATCTCCAATAGCTCCCAAAATAATTGTTTGGTTATCATTTCCATGCTCAAATTCTAGATAACAGCCAAGTCCACCCCCTCTAATTTTGCCATTTAGGTGAGGTGGGTTTATAGTTGTACCGTAATTATTGTCTGTCCAACGTGCGATTTTCTTAAATTTATGGCTGTCATGTGTTGGAGCTGTGGCTTATCTTGGCACCTTTCGAAACTGCCGTGGAAAAAATGGAGTTTCAAAATTGCACCGTTTGGTAGATCACAACATCTGGAATGTCAAAACGTGTGCCTTCAATGGCGTCAAATGTAACAAGAGTGATTAGATTCATAAACCAATCAATACCAAGTACCTCCGTTCTTTTTCGACCGGGCACGGGTTGTAAGATAGTAGGATCTGTGTCGTGGAGAGTTACACAAAGGAGAGAGAAATGTGTAAGAATGTGTAAGAATGATTGTGAACCACATATTTTTTATCAAAAGGGGAAAAATGAGATAAATTTGGGATAGACCGAAATGGAAAGAATGGAGATAATTTTGGGACGGGGGAGTAACAAAATGGAAAACGTGGTTAACAATTTGAGAAAACTAATTTTTATTGATTAACTTTTATGTCTATCTATCACATATTACGTGTTCATTGTGCATATTATTGTGTATGAGATGCTACGACACTAAGGGAGCGTTTGCGATTGCTTCTACTCTAATAAAGTGATTTTTAAAGTGATTTCAGAAAAAGTGTTTAATAGTAAAAGTTAGTAGTGTTTGAGAAAAAAACGATTCTGAAAAAGTAAAAGTTGATAGTGTTTGATAAAATAAGTGTTTTTTGTGGAATAGAAAAAGTGAAAAGCAGTTTAAAGCACCTTTCAACCTGCTTCCATCTTTTACCTTTTAAGTGATTAAATTAAGCAGAAGCCGCCACTTGAAAATACTAATTTCAGCTTTTTTTTAAGTCAAAAGCTGAAAAGCGTTTTTTTCGCAAACACTCGCTAAGACCGTTGATCATGTTTATCACGGGTTATTAATATAGAAATTGCTCTAAATAGGAGAAAAAACGTTTTGAAATTCCAAAATAGGAGTATCATGTTTTTTAGCAGTAATCTGTCAAGTTTGAAAAAAATGCCATGTTTTAAAGCACAGTAATGCCAAACATGGCAGATATTTATTCTTATTCAAGGAATAAAAATAATCATACTCCTGTTTTGGAATTTCAAAACTTTTTTACTCCTATTTAGGGAATTTTCTCTTATTAATATGATGACTTAAGGAAAAGTGGGAAACTGGAACAAGAATGACGAACAAGAATACATGACGTTATTACGGAGTATAACATTAAAGGGGAAATCTGTTATATCTATATAATATAATAAAGCAAACCCTTATAGTATCTTTTGAGTAGTAACTCTTGACATGTGGCAACATCCTTTGTAGGAAAAGTGACATGTGGCAAAACAATAAGGGAAAAGCTATTCAACTTCTAAAACTTCACTCCCATGTGTCCCAATATAATTTATATGTATAATATATATCATCCTCTATTATCATATCTTATTTTAAACAACGCATCTGATACATACACACACTCAACGGTAGTACAAATTGCAAATTCTAAAAAAATAAAAAAATAGTTAACAATTTTTTGGCTCCTTACAATAAAAAACATTTCTCTCTATTTCTTTTCCCATAAATTCTTGCAAATGTTCCCTTACTATGAGTTTTATAAATGGTTTCTTATTTCTTTCCAAAATATGATACTCCATAATTACTAATCCCTCCTTCTCATCAGTTCTTATATGGTGCAACCGGAACACTTTGAGCATCATGCTCCACTCCCAAAAACGACGTAGTTTTGCATAATTTTTTAAAAAAATCGCGTGAACAGTATACGCGTGAACAGTACACGCGTGAACAGTAGCTGTTTTTGTCTCAGTAGCATGAATGATGTAACTCGCGTGTAAAGAAACTTAACTCGCGTTAATAAGAAATGTTACTGCAGGCAAGTCGAAATGTAAGTTGTCTAAAACAATGGTTTCAATGTGAACAATAAAAAATGAGTCTAATTTCTTATTTACTTTACCTAAATAGTGAATGTGTTGTGTTTTTAATATTAAGACCACAAAATGTTTTAAAGAAATCATTTTTTCCCCAAAAAATCATTTTTTTGTAAAAGAAAACCGGTTATAAAAAAGTTTTTTTTATTCAATACAAGGGTTTTATTTTGTGATTATAAAATACAATATACTTATTTTATGTGCATTAATAAAATTTTGTAATAAATTGGTAATAAAAAATCTAGGTGTAATGTAATTAGTTAAAGATAAAGATAAGTAAAAAATCACAAATATACAAGATGTAACTCACACATAATTAGATGTAACTTAAGCATAAAAGTATGTATCTCGCACAAAAAAAGATGTAACATACGCATAACAAGATGTAACTCACGCATAATAACATGTAACTCGAGCATAAGAAAATGCAACTTCGTATATTATCAAATGTAACTCGAAGAATCAAAACAAACAAACTCAATATCTTAAAAACTTCTAAAAACAAACTCAATATTAACTTGAAATAAATAGAAAAGTAAATTACATTAATAAAAATGTAAGTTGAACCAAATCAAATTGTAAGTTGTATAATATGTATATACTCTATACGCGTATAAAATTGCATCTTTGCTTCTCTTCAAATACTCTGTAGATGTATCAATTTAATTAGTGGGATGCTTTTTACTTTTGTTGGATGAGTAAATAGACATCAGCAAACCTCTCGCGACAAAAGGAGCCCGTCATCATCGTTGGTGAAACACAAGGGCAAGCGGCTGGAGCCTGGATGGATCTCAATCCGGAATTCGATTCAGCAGGTAGGAACTGAATTTTTGGCCGCAGGGACAAAGCATACGCTAGACGGCTGGTGAAGACGATGAGTTTTTGTCCGCTCTGTTTTAATTAATATAAAACGCCGTCGTTTTGAGATCGGCACACCATGCACATGGTGGGCTGATCCCACTGTATAATTTGCGTCTTCTCATTGATTTTCTCACACATTTCTTTCTCTTTTATTCAATGGATTTGTGTAGCTCCAAATAATGTTATATTTGTGTAGATCCAAATCATTCTTACATTATATCTTTTTCCAATTCAAAATCAATCACATAACATCTTTGTTAATAACTTCACATGTCTCGATCCCAATGGAATAAATGTGGTATTACTTATCTATTTATTACGACCAAATCATTATATAAATGTAGATTCACTATTTTATCTCATATTTTTTATACCTTCCTCGCAATTTATGTTTCACGCTGTCCAATGGACTGCATTTTTTATAGATTTGGGATTACATTTTTTATTTCATAATGGAAATTTAGAATGATAATTGTGTCTTCATGAATTCTAAAATATATTAAATTATGCAATTAACACCATAAACTAATTACATTTTAAAAAGAAATAATACTTGAGTATGGTGCTAAAATAACTTTTTATATAAAGTTTGGGGTATTTAAATTACATATGCAAGTTTGGGGTGTTAATCTCACACCCCTTCAAAGTTTGGGATATTTTATTTATATTTCCCTTATTAAAAAGTGATTCATGTCACTTTTATCATTTGATTTAAGTCCAATTTCGAGTCTGCCGAAGATTATGATGTGCATCAAATAAGTTTGATATGTTTTTTTATATGTTTTTTTTATGAATCCATTTTGGAATTTTATGGTTTTGATAATTAAATACTTATATGTAATTATTATGACCAATAATTACGGCCAATATATGTTCAATTGGAAATACATATTTGGATATTATTGAAATAGATTACTTTTGTTGGTTGTCGTGATTTGCGGTTTGAATAATTATGTATTATGCGTTATGGGATGTATAAACCCTATTTTGCGATCGCACAACGATTGGGTACGAGTTTTAAAAAGTATCGTTATACATAACACATTTACATGTGATTCAGAAAAATTCGCCCAATTTTATTTTCAAATTTTTTATTTAATATTAGCATATCTAATATTTGGGTTGATTACTTGACACAACATACTCCCAAAGTAGCCTCTCTTGTTGAAATTAATTAACTCATATATTAAGATGATTGTGTACTTTCTTATTTCATGCGGATAATAATCGGCCCAAAGGAAGGTTATTATTTGGCCGAAATTTAAGTACATTTGTGATACTAAAGTTTGTGATAATTATGAGGTTTTCATGTGAATATTAAGTCGGTCCAAAGAAAGGCTTAGTATTTGACATGATTTTATTATCAAAATTTTATTATTACACCAAGAGTACCACTTGCAAGTCTATTTTTTGTCCAAAAACAAGATTAGATGTTGTGCTAGGTATCTTGTGATGATGTTTGCTAATATTTTAAATTAATTATCAAGTTGATTTCAGTTTGTGGAGCATATCATTTATAATATGTTTGTTCTCTTTCAGTCAACAATTCTGTTGCTACAATATCTGCTAATATTAATAGCATCACAGTGCTTAATAGCATGAATTTTAAGGAATGGAAAGAGAACATTATGATTGTTCTCGGTTGCATGGATCTAGACCTTGCACTTCGGACTGAGAAACTCATCGCTCTTAAGGACACATCTACTCTTGATGAAAAGAGGGAGATGCTGATGTGGGAACAACGCTCAAACCGCGTGAGTCTAATGATCATGAAACTTGCAATTTTAGAATCATTCAGGAGCACGATGTGTGATGAGGCTGATGCCAAATTGTTCCTTGGCGAACTTGAAAAGCGTTTTGCTAAAAACGAAAAGGCGGAAAGTAGTACTCTTTTAAGCACTCTTGTTTCCATGAAGTATAAAGGCAAAGAGAACATAAGGGAGTACATTTTGGAAATGTCTCACATTTTTTCAAAATTAAGTGTACTAAAGCTTGTTTTACCTGAGGAATTGCTTGTGTATTTGGTTTTGATCTCACTTCCTTCTCAATTTAATCAATTTAAAGTCAGTTACAACTGCATTAAGGAAAAATGGTCTCTTAATGATCTCATTTCTCATTGTGTTCAAAAGCAAGAGAGAATAAAGCAAGATAAGACTGAAAGTGCTCATTTGGCATCTACCTCTAAAGGCAACAAGAAAAGGAAAATTAAGGAAGCTGTAAATTCAGGGCCTCAAAGAAAGCATCATAAGGAAACTAAGGAAGAAACTAAGGAATTTGGATGCTTCTTTTGCAAAGGGGCTAATCATAAGAAAAAGAACCGCACTAAGTACCCCGCATGGCGTGCGAAAACGGGTATGTCTCTTGCTCTTGTTTGTTCTGAGGTTAATTTAATTTCGGTACCCAAAGACATTTGGTGGATAGATTCCGGTGCTACTACTCACATAAGTGTATCTATGCAGGGTTGCCTGAGCTGCCGAAAAACAATTGATCGTGAAAGATACATCTATGTCGGTGATGGCAAGCGGGTTGAAGTTCAGGCTATCGGTGTGTTTAGATTATTATTAAAGACTGTTTTTTATTTGGATTTAAAAGAGACATTTGTTGTGCCATCATTTAGGCGAAATTTAATTTCTATTTCTGCATTGGACAAATTTGGTTATTCTTGTTCATTTGGAAATAGTCAGTTTAGTCTATTTCAAGATTCAAAACTTATTGGTACTGGTCTTTTGTCATTTTATGATAATCTATATTCACTCTATATAATTACTTCATATAATGAAACCTTGCATGCAAGTACTCGTGGTACTAAAAGGAAATTAACCAATGAGAATTCATTTTCACTATGGCACAAGCGTTTAGGACAATATATTGGGCTCATAATACATGTATTATTCACTATATTATTTATTGGGTTTAATTGTATGTTATATGTTATCTTATATTTAGACCCAAAATTAATGGTCTTATGGATATTAATTAAAGTGGGCTAATATGTTATCTAATAAGTTATAGGGCACAAATGTGAAGAGACTCATGAGCTTAACCTAATTAATGATGGTCTGATTAGGGTTAAGCATTCTCTATAAATAGAGGGGTTATGGTCCCTAGTTGAACACGTCATTCCGTCTTTCTGCATCTCTTCGCTAGAGAGATAATCCCGAGGGTGTGTATGAAGACGCAAATCCTAGCCTCCATCTTCCAGATCTCTAAATGTCATCTTCAATGGAGTCAGATACGCTTCCGATCAGTTATTTGTCTAGATAATTTCAATGTGAAGATTAAAGTATTATCGGATTTATTCAACAACTACACGAAGGGACATATAATGTGAATATTTGGCTCCTATGGCTTCTAAAAATGGTGGCTGCTAGAGCCCGGATGTGTTAAAGAGGGCATTGAGCTCTTTTATTTGCTTGTATACATAGAAATGTTTTCGAAACGTAACTGAATTTTTCAACGTGGAGCTTCAGTGCATTGTTTTAAGATATTTATTACAAAGTGATTATTGTACACAACGTATCCATTACTCATACTCTTGTCATATTATGCTATCCACATTTTGTACGTTTTGACTATGTGTGCCTTTCAATTCGTAATATACAGATGTAGTTTCTGCATACAACGAAAAACATAGCCGCCAACAATGCGTTTGGGATTTACTGTCAAACGTGACGAATTTTTTTCAATACAGACCGGACGCATTTAGTACGTACTCCCTTCGTATCTATTTGCTTGTCACACTTTCCTTTTTGAGTGTATCAAATTAATTGTCTCTTTTTCTTTTCTGGAAAGAATCTCACTCAAAAAGCAGCTACAGTACCACTACAGTACCGCTACAGTATCAAAAACCTCTTACTTTTTATATAATCTACGGTAATTGTCTTAAACTCCGTGAAAATCAAACGGGTCATCTAATTAGATACGGAGGGAGTATTTAGTTGATTGGATACAATTTAGACTTGCATGTAGCTCAATTGATTGAATGATGGGAAAGTTGAAGAAATAAAATTATTTTCAGAACTCACAATGACGATGTACTGGAGGTTACAATTCTTGTGTGTTAAGCTAAACTTTTAGTACAGTGTACATATAAGTAGAATGTCTACCATTGTTAAATTAGCTATTTACGTCATCATGATTTACAAGTTCATACTCCCTGCGTCTCATAAAATAATTTTCGCATTGACTTGGATCGGAGTTTTAAGAAAGTGTGAATAAAGTAGAAATATATGGTTGTGGATGAGTAAGAAAAATATAAATGAATGTGAACCACACAAAATTTTCCAAAATGAGAATGAAAACTATTTTTTGGATGACCCAACAAGGAAATCAGAAACTATTTTACGGGACGGAGGGGGTATATGTTCTTTCGGGTCGGGCTTGAGAACCCTTGGGTCGAGGAATTCAATCTTTTGTAGGATACAACTTATACCTTAATGCATGTAATGAATGAGAATTTGTGTAGAACTATGAGCCTGTTTGGTAACACAAAAATCGGATGATTCGATTGATTATGCTGAAATTTATGAAGTTATGGTTAAAGTGACTGCATTGACTGATCCTGGTGATTTAAGAGAAAAATATTTTTAAAATATGTTTTATTAATAAAACATAGAAAAAATTATGTGTAAAATAGTTAATTGGTTATTTACAGTATCTTCAATCAATACAATCAGAAAAATAACTACAACCTTACTTTTTCTTATTACTCACTCTGTCCCGCAAAACAGTTCCTGATTTTCTTTCTGGGCCGTCCCAAAAAATACTTCTCATTTCCCTTTTTTAAAACTTTTGTGTGACCCACATTCATTTACCTTTTTCATACTCAATCATAACCATACATTTCTATTGTATTCTCACTTTTTAAAATGTTAATCCAAGTTAATGCGGGAATTATTTTATGGGGCGGAATGCGTATTATACAATTCAGCGTGTGAAAACAAAAGTTACGTGTTTGGTGAAAAAGTTGGCTCATAAGCCTAATAAACCAAAAAACATCTTACAAAACGGCCTCTACATTTTTATTCGTTGTGCATTAGAATCAAAGTAGTTGGACTTAATTAAATGTTATGACGACTAATTAAGGACAGAATTTGGATCCTATTATCTTAAATTTCAATTTTGTTAATTAAAAAGAACACGTAAACACATGATTGACATAAGAAAGCGTTATCAAAGGTATGCATGATTGCATGAACTCATATATTTGGAGTTTATTTCCGGATTAATGTTAATTAATTAAATAATTACGGAATTAATGTTGAGTTAAAACTATTTACCAATATACCATTGGGTTTAACTCTGATCGTGGAAAGTTGTTAAACCATTTGGCGACGTATCATTATGTCTTGCAATTGGGTCCTACTAGCGGAGGTACGTCCCCTAAAGTAGGGGGAAAGCATCTCCCGTTCATTGGCCTTGGGAGCAAGTAGGATACAAGAGACCAGAGTTAAGTCGAACAGTATTTTGATAAATAGTTTAACTCAACATTAATTCTGTAATTAATTAACATTAATTTGAAAAAAAAAACTCATATATTTGAGCAAATTAATTAGATTGGGAATAAATATACGGAGTAATTGTGTTAAGGTCATACGGCGTACAGTAATATTGCAAACATTTGCGTAGTGGACTTCTTCGGGAATTATGGATAGGATACGTCGCCCATAAATGCATTCCATGAATCGTCTCGATCGATGTGAGGTCCAGATGTGCACCTCATCATATTTAGTTCTTTTTTTTGGCTATTAAATTTTGAAACGATTGGCATTTTGAAAATATATTTTTGAGTTCAATAAGAGTTTATTTAAGATAGATTCTATGGTACCCATAAGATGTCATATCTTTATCCACATTGACCAATGAGAATGTAGCAGTTGAATTATTTAAATCTAAATTAAAAATGATAAAGTGATGTGGTCCGATCAAATTAATGATAGGTACGATACCCCATTTTTTAGAAAGGTATCGGATTTGTCACCTTTATTTAATACTAGATGCGTCCCGAAAAAGTTTATCATATTGACTTTTCTTGATCAATGATGACAAACTTTGAATAATAATTTTAACTACTCTCTCCGTCTCTTATAACTTCGCCAACTCTTATTTTTTGGATATCCCATTAACTTTGTCATTTTTCCTTTTAAGTAAAGAATTTGTGATTTCAGTTAATTCCCTCTCCGCTACACAAACCTCAATCACACAGTTTTTACTTTATTAATCCATGTGTCGGTCAAACTTGGCAAAGTTATTAGGGACGGAGGGAGTATTATATTTATATATAATTGATAAATTTTATACTTTTATGAAAATGTTTTGAATAAGAAAATTTTGATATAATTTTCATATTCAAAATAATTACGTATTAAAAAATATAATTGTTCAAACTTAATTGTCTTTAATTAGGAAAAGTCAATTTGGCGCGGGCTAGGGAGTACTTCCTATATTTTAGAAAAACAACCATGTTTGATGTATCAATCCTTATAGTCACCTTATACCCATCATGTTTGTGATTTTTTTTGTCTATAAACCTGGTTCACAGATAAAAAAAACTTTCACAAGCATGAGTAGGTATAAAAATGAGCATATGAGTGATTACAATTTGCAAACATCATTTTTGTTATAAAAACTACTCGTTATTTTACTTTCTGAATCCATTAGATGTATGGATATAGACTAATGTTACAATCGGTTATAAATGGAACTACTTTTTGTACGATCATAATTTTCTAAAAAGTAGTTTTAAATCAAAATATTTGTATGATCTAATAAGCTGTGGAACCCGTGCATGGTGAGTACGATCTAATACTTTTGTTATTTTTTATTTCTTCTTTTCTTAAAATTATTAATAATTTTTTTATTTTTGATCCAATTTTTATAAAATTTATATCAAATTTTTTTATTTTTCATGATCTTTCAAATGAGACTAATATTGCCTATGTAATTTTAATTTTTTACATTCATACATTTTTTTGTAATACTCCATATATTTTTATATGCAT